ACCCCCCCTTCTTTTTTCCTTGGAAATAAAACTACTTGGAAGATTTAGAATTTTCTTTTTGTTTGCTTAGATACAATTTCAAAATTAATTTGAAATTAATGCAACTTCACTGCAAGAATAATTATTTTAACAGACTAAACTAAAAAGAAAGGAGATAGACACCTCTTGTAGTAGAAAAAACTTCTGACTCATATAAGGCAGCCAAATATTCCTTGCAATAAAACAACAGTAACACAAATAAATTTATGAATTTACACATATATTTTTCACCAATTTTTTTCAGTACAAGTTGCAAACCATAAAAATAACTCAGGGGAACAGAAAGAGGTAAATTGAAATTCCTTGAGCAACAATGCACAATGTAAAAACCAGATATAAGCTCCAGGTCAATTATTTTAAGTCAACACAAGTACCAGCTAATTAGAGCAGACATGTTGCATAATGTTTCATGAGCCAAATAATATTTTAATAATAGATAGGTCTTGTATTAAGGAGGTATTAAGACAATGGCTCTGAATAGATTACCACACAGTCCACATTCATCATATGGAACATACAGGAAACGTGGGGCAATTAAGTACTTGACAACTAAGGCAGTTCTCTGCCTTGGAAATGAATCTGCAATGTAGTTGTTTTTTACTGTGCTATTTGAGGTAACTGAGGTGATGTGTTTTGGCATTTTTTAAATGTCAGCTGGGCACAGTCTTTGTTCTGAGTATGTTGTTTCTTATATGGCTGTCTGTATAAATGATAAGCACAAAGAGAAGACAGTAATTTAAAAGAAAAGCAGAAATCAGACATAGCAATGTGTGAAGGTTTCCAAATATATATTCCTTTACCTTCAGCACATTTTTACTACATGCTTCTCACTTTTTCTAAAAGTCTGATGATGATCTTAAAAAAGAATTAAAAAGGAAATAAAAATGCCAAAAAGGTAGCAGCATCATATCCTGCAGAAGGACAACACAACAAAAGTCAAGTTGACTGTAGCCTGTGACTTTGGCAATGTGTCATCTGCAGAAGTCTGACAGCCAGGGGTCACCACTCCTTTCCTAGCAATCAAATGAGATACAACAAAGTTTTGCAAGTGTTGCATTCTCTTGCAGTTTAAGGGCAGATAGAAAGATTTCCTACCTACAGTTCCTACAAGCTACAACAGATGCAAACTGTCTTTTACAGGTGGTGTTTCAGGACTTGCCTAAAATGAAGAGACTACCAGTTTCACTGACAGAAATGCACTTCTTTGTTTACTGAAACAGTGACTACTCGACCTTCCAGTTCTACCAGACATCACAAAGCCACAGGATTGAGGGAAAGTTTTTTTCCAAGGGGAAGAAAATTAAAGGAAACTAAAAATCCTTCTTTCAACTCTTTTTAAGTAGCTGACTACTTCAAACACCAGCATGTATCTTATTTGAGCTAATCAAACAAAACCACTAAGTGTCATATTGTCTCATTTTTATACTACCACAGAAAAGGGAAAGTTCGTGATTAAATTAAAAGTAAAGCATCCAGAAGTGCTATAGGAGCTTGTAAAGTGCTGAATACCAGCATCAAAAACTATGCAGAAAACTAGAAATTCAGTCATGTAGTTCTTCAACCAAATTGTTCTGACTCCTCAGCATTCGCCAAGCCTTCAAAGAGATACTGAATCTCATGTTTGTTTTAACGGAGTAAAAGTAGCATTGATAACAAACATTTAGGGGCAATGGGAAGTATGCATGAAGAAGAGGATAAAAGTGTTTCTGGCATTTTATATATTCAGAAACTGACTTACCCTAGTGGAGATGCAGCTGGAGGTCTTGCTTGCCTTCTGCTTTTCAGAGCACGAAGCTTATCCCCTTGTGTTAAACAGTTTGTTTCATCATCATCACTGTACTGGATAAGTGGAGGAGGGAAAGGGATAAATCAAGATTAAATATAGACACTTTGATATTTAAGAATTAACCTTATTTTAAAGTTTAAAACTGGAATTATCTCAACAGGATAAAGTCAAAGGAAATTCACTTGCATAAATATAGTTCTGCTCCTTCCAGTTTCCTGTTTGCTGCTTTTGAAGCTGTAAACCATTAAGTGGTGTCATGAATTACATGCATCAGAATATTGTCTGAATATGTTTAAAGCATTAGAGGCAATATATTATAAAATCTTTTCTTAGGTACAGTATGCTCTTCACTAAATACAGCATTTCCCTCCTTCACTTGCCTTTTCAAAACAGCAGTACTGTCTTTTCCAAAAAGCACCATTAAAAGGTATTACGGAAGTTGCAATTACTTAGAAATTAAAATGAGAAAAAGAACTCACCCTCTCATCCCCTCCCTTCAAATACACACAATGAGGCAACAGACATTGTGAAAAATGAAATCAGTATTTTTGATGGCAGAATGTGGGTAATTTTTTTCTATTATTGACCTAACTACAAAAGACTAAAGCATGTTGATGCTCCTACTTCACCTGTGTTCTAAACTCCATTTTTCATAATTGCTGTCCCTAGTTTTTCCCCCCCATATTCTTTTATACAAAAAGGGTGAACAGAAAAAAAAATTGATTAACAAAGTTTTAGTGTACCCACAGGTTTTTTCAAAACCTGAGAGATTCTCAACAGTTCCAACTTTTACAAGAGCACAATATTTGGATGGTTACCAGTTCAATGTCCTTTTGGATGGTTCTCCTGTTTCTTGTGTTATTAATTGAAATATCATCTACTCCTGACAGAATTCTTGTTACAGCAATTTTATGGTTTCCTTTCAACTTTGCACGGAAAATATCCCCTTCTGTCCAAAGTTCTGCCTGTTTGCTATCATAACATGGAAAAAAAGGCCCAAAATACAACAAATTAACACTGAAGATTGTTAAGTGCACAATAGAAGAAGAAGAAGAAGAAAAGACATCTAGATTTATTTTTGGCAATAATTTACACTCAATCTACTTACTCCATCAGGAAGTGCTGTTGTGGTCCAATCACAGAACCAGGTCTATTTATCCTGATCCAGGCAATAGTTTCAGCAGCTGTCATCCGATAGTGCTTCATGATGTAACAAGCAATAAGCGTGCCAGTTCGTCCAAGACCAGCTGTGTAAGATAAAAGAATGGCTTCTTTTAAATATCCATCTTCATCTGGAATCTGCTGTAACTACAGACACTACTACTTGGACCAGCCTGATTTATCAGAACAAACCTCTACTTATCAAATAAGGTAAGGGAAACTTACTCTTCAATCTTTTCCTTCATATACAAGGCTACTAACACGCTGTTCATACTTTCTTGAGTGAGGTAACTTTCCAAAACCAGCAAATTCACAAATGTCCGTAAGTTTAGCTAACTTTATTTACCTATTTATCTATGACTATATATGAAGGTATGGGAATGTTTTTAAGCACGGGATAAAACAGTTGGCTTCTTTTTTTTCCAGAATTTTCCCAGCACCTTCTTGCAAACTAATCATACATTGCACTGAAATCAGATGTTCTTCCAGCCCCTCCTCTAATGAGTCTCTTTAACTCCAAAGAAAAAGACAAATTTTGCAATAAGCAAGTCTCACCACTAGCTAGGATAGGCAAGAAGTACTCCAGAGTGAGAAACCTTATTTAAAATGGCCCTCAAAACAGTTCTATTTACCTTGGGAAAGATGAGAAGCAAAAGAGGACAGCTCCAGCTAACTGGCGTCTCTTGTCAATCACTTGCTGTACATGCAAATCACACACCACCTTCTCTCATTTAACAAGTGACTGATCAACACCAGTGGTAAAATCGTCTGGATAACACAACACAATCAAACCACAACCACACAGCACTTTCCATGACTTGCTCAGCTTTAGAAACAGCCTACAAGCATTCTACACCTCCTCAAGAGTAAGTGCAGGCTAGACACCATTAGTATGACATCTACCAAAGAACACCTTAATTTGAGTTGAAAACAAAGCACTTGTATCATTCATAGTCAGCATTCTGGCATAACCAATTAAGTGATATGCCTGAATTTATCACCTTGGTGAAGAATAAGAGTATGCACTTGTTTCCCCAGAGTCAAGATGCTGGTTTCAACAATTCTCTCACTTTCCAGTATAATTCTGTTAAATGCAGCAAATGGATGGCAGAAACAGGAAGAAAAATGCAGTCTTTGCAGGTCCAAAGCAAACAGGTTAAGAAAAGGCCCTTCTACTTCAACCACAGCATTATTCAGTACACTAGTGATGTGAAGTTGTGGAGAAGAAATGTGTGATAGACCATTAAAGATAGTGTTTGAAGGGAAACATACTGCCCCTAGAACCACATAAAACTGAATAACTACACTAGCTGCATTGGCCAGGCTCTTAAAATCTTCATGGTCAAACTCTGTAGGAATGGATATTCAATGCCTGCCCAAACTAGTATAACAAGCTTCTGAGGGATAATGATTTTGCTGGTTGTAGAAGAATACTCATATATTTTGAGGAATCTCCGCAAAATGCTGCACTATTTCCAAAAGTTTATGCCAAAAGTTTATGACTTGGTACATTTAAACATGTATTTTCAGAGAGAACTTGACAGGACTTCAAATGCCCATCCAAAGCATCCTCTGAAAGTACTAATACTTTCTAGCAGAAAGAGCAATTAATATTGGAAATCTTACTTTCCCTAATCTTATTTTGGGAATAGCTGGGAAGATTTTTCTGGAACTTAACAAAACTAGAAGATGAAGTGCTGAACAGAACCATAAAAATAATTTTAATAGAAAAGTAGCAGTTTGGCAGAGATATCAATAACTAGATGTAGTAGAATTATATTGCAAAATACCTCAGGAATTGTAATTGTAAGCATCACTTGTCATACAAACTGTTTTTTACATCATACCTTTGCAATGAACAGCTATTACACCTTCAGCATTTTCACAAATATTTAGAAATGTTTTAACTATAGTATCACTAGGTGTGCTTCCATCAGCAAAGAAGAGATCAAAATGCTCAAATCCAGCATCTGTAAATCGTTTGGCATCGTACAATTTTTTGTTGAGGCGTATAATAGTGGTGACCTTATGTTGCTTGAAGTATGGGAAATAAGCCTCTGGAGCATGGTGGGGATAGCCTATTTGAGAACAGAAGATAAAAAAAAGAGAGTAAGACTTAAACTGAAGAAATAGGAAAAGACTGAAAAACAAGATATGAAAACACTTTGAAAATAGAGACAACATAGAGAAATAGGCTTCCATAAAAATGGAATTTTAATACAATCACCTAATCAGATACAATTAAACCAAGCATTAAAATTTTACTGCCAGAGTTCTTATAAAAGGAAAAGAGCCAAGGAAAAAACACACTGTTTGAAGAACAATTTTTAAAGCTTGTTCTTACTGATAACAACCAACTAAGAAAGCAGTGGGCTTGTGCTCCCCACCTCCTTTTTTAAGCATACCATTTTCAATTTTACTTCTTGAATGAGGTCCACTGAAGGCAATGAATTTGTTTGGTATTATCCAGTTAAAATCTCCATTTTCTGCTCTCTGTCAAGAGAAAATGCTTGGTTTATCATTATCCCTGTATTTTCAGGCTTTTCCTTATTGTTTCAAAATACATGCTAGATAGAATTGATGTATAATTTTTGTCAAAGGAAGTTGTGTTAGTTGCCTGCTTTATTTTTCATCATGAGGATGACAGATGCTCTCAACCTCACGTTTCTCCCATGCTTCTGTCTTTCTAAATCAGAGTATCAGAACAACGCAGCTGATGCCCTTCAGATGAAGAGCAACTTCCAATTTTTTATAGGATTCTAAATTTGTCTTACCAATTGGTATTAGCTCTGATCACAAATTAAGTAATGATTTTTTAAGCTCCAGGAGCATTTAATTTTCTCTTTACAGATATCTGGCAGCGTTGCATTTCTGAGACTACATGCAGTCGAGAGCTGCAGTCCTTCATTGTCACAATCATTTCCTATGTCCTAAAGCAAATTTTATGCACTTGGACTTTCCCAGCACTGTTTCCTTCTTTACCTCAAACAGTGTTATGACATTTTTGCCATGTGTTCTCAAATACACACTTTGATTATTCTCTAGCATTCAGTTAGACCTGAGCTTGTAAGGCCTTTAGTTTTCCATCAAGACTGCTCAAGAATATCCAGGGTTTCAATAATAGAGACTCACATTTATTTCCATTTTGGTTTCTGCTTTCCCCCATGTTTGAGCATAGTTATGCTTAAATCTGAATTTAGTATTCTCTCTCTGACCATGAACCTTTATTTACCTATCACAACTTAAAGAGAAAAAACAGAAATGGAACTTAATACTACAAAATAACAGCACAAATTATAAGCAATCATTTTAGTGTTAGTAACAGCAAACAAATCAAAAGATTGATACTGAACACTTACTTCATAATGCTCATATTCATTTACATCAAACGTACTAAAATCCAGGAAACCATACTGCAAAGCCTAAAATTTAGAACACAGCTCTTAACAAAGATGCCTCTTCAGTAAGGACAGTTTATCACTCTTTTTGGTTACATAAAGTCCTATAATACACACTCTCCTCTTTTTCCACATTATTTAAGAAATACAGATAAACCCAATCTTGCTTCAAAACAGGTTTGTAAATTTCAGTATAAGTGAAGTTAGATGAATAAATCAACTCTTTTTGTTTTCACCTAATCACTACAAAAATCTCAGGTAACTGAAGAATTTGGTCTTTTCATTATTGCTAGGTGCACAAAATAAAAAGAAAAATAACCAGCAAAAAATATCTATTCAAGCTATGAGTAGATTCTAAAGATTCCCTGCATTCAAGGACTGGAAATATCTTTCATGAATAAATGCTATTTGGTAGTATCTTCACTGATTTCAAATTGTTTGCAGTCACAAAGTCCTAAGTAGATATTACTGTGAGTCCACGATGTCCCATATTAGCCAGAACCATAATACTTTATAATACATAATAGTATAAAAAATGCAACCATTTGGGTAACTAAATGGTTTATCCACTTGTTAAAACAAGAAGCGCAAACACAGATAAATCCCATATCTCCAGATATTAAAAATACTACATTCTAATTTTATCTTTGACTACCTAATCTCTTATAGCTTTCCTTGCTGCTCACCAGCAAGAATAGCAATGCACCAGTCTTGACATACAAGTGGCCAATTTCAAAATACCCAAAAAAGCTAAAAAATCACTGACCTTCAAGAAGCTGACTTAACCAGTAAAAACATCAATATTTGGTAGAGATACCCATAATGTGAAAGACAATAGTACAGTGGAGGGCTGCAGAGTTCACCATTTCACTACATACAGACTAAAAACAATGCGTTTTGATTATCCTATCCTTCAATGCTGCATTACTTCATTGCAATATTGCTATAAAACCTAGATTTTATAATTTTATAGTTAAAAAAAGAAGCATCTACCTCCTAACATTTGTTCTATTTCTATTACTAAAGCAAAACTTGAAATCATTAGCATGTGCTGCAAATGCTAATTTTTTTAAGCTATGTTCAGCCTAATATGTAACACCAGGGGGCATATAATAAACCTAACACACAGCTTTTAGGATTAGAGGTGAATTACTGTCCTGACAGATGACACAAGTAAAACTTAAAATTCCCTCTTTAATATCTTCACTTGTTGATTATATAAGGTCTTGGCTGACTTCTATGAATGCTGTATCTACTTTTGTGACAATGCATAATGCATACTAAACTAGGCAACAATCAGCAGATTTACTACTTCACAGCTCTAACTGGATCCTAGTTTCCTAAGCATTCTTCTCATGGGCAACATTTAGCTAATTTTTTGCAATGTGAAAAATATTAGTTTACTGACCTTGTTTATTGCATGAAAACAGTCCAGTAATGTCAGATGAAAACTGCAAGTACCAAAGGAAGCATCCCTGTAAGATACGATGACCAAAAGATAATTATTGCATTTTAATCCAAGTGAAAGCAATTGAAGATACTTCTCTAAAACACCTTCTAAAAACACTTCAAGACAGTGATTATCAAACTGAAATAATTATGTCAAATTATTATTTCATTTCCCATACCTTGAATCTTACAGGAATAACAAAACAAAATAAGTTATGTTAATTGATATAACAGTAAGATTACTCCAGCTACAATTTTTGTAAAGCTGAAATGTTCAATTTCTGACATGGACTGTTAGGATAAATGTTTTAGTAAATATAATAAAACATCTTCCTTAAGATGCATAAATAGTTAATGCTTAAACAAGAGGAAAAACTGGTTTCTTCAATTACAAGTTTTTTAATTCTGTTGATCCAGGAATTGCATGTTCTCAGTATGTAACCATTATTAAATTTCATAAGCACCACAGAGTAAGATTTCTACAGGAATACTATAGTGAAGTAAATAAATAAATTTAACCAAATCTACACCAGAGAACATTATGCCTTGGTAGAACACCTTGAGACCATGCAGCCCTTATCAACTACTGTTTCTAATAATTAAAAAGCATATAATGTTTGAATTTCAGCTGAGAGGAAGAACCTGGATTGCTGCCTCTAGTAATTTTTTCTATCCTTTCTTTCCTTATGAATCAGTGTGAAAAGAAATTAGCAGGAGACAGAAAAAATAGAACCATATTCAAATAAAAGGAAAGACACATAAAGGTGATGGTGTAGTAGCATGTGTCTCTTAGACCATCTAATGAGAAAGAACAAATGGGTAAAGCCTTCTACAGACAGATAGAAGCAGCCTCATATTCTCAGCCCATGATCCTCACAGGGAACTGCAACCTGCAAGTCTGATATGTGTTGGAGGGATAACACAGTAGGGCACACTCAATGCAGAAGGTTCCTGGAACACACTGATGACAACTTCCAACTTGTCAAATATGTGCAGCAATCTGCAAATACTATCTTGCACATAAAGAATGCTATTAAGTATTGCAAGCCCTCTGTGGTGGATGACAGATATTTTGATATGTTTAACTATCAACTACTGGCACAAAATCAGACTGTCAAGTGAGAAGCAATGTAGATCATAAAGCTCAATGAGTGGATACAAACCGTGAGGCTCCTTCACCTACTGCTGGTACACTTCAGTACCAGCTGGTAACACCTCTGATTCACTAAGCCCCTAAAATTCAGACAGTGAGTGTGTCCCGAGTAAAAACTTCAACACTTCAACAATTTTAAAAAAAAATGCAAACCAGAAAAAAACCCCAAACAAACAAAAAACCACCCCAAACCAAAACCCCAGAAAATCAATACAGCAAAAATTAGTACTGAAAAATGTTACATTCTTCAAAATATCAAGGTATAGAAAGTTCTATCAACTTGTTATTTACCTGAAAGGAAGGTATGAAACACTTCCTGACAATATAAGCCGGTACACATCTTCTGGGGATTCTCTCAGGTATATTATCTATTTTTGGAAAAAGACAGAAAAGGAAAAAGATTATTTTAAGATAGGCTTCAATAATTTCAAGTCATTTGTTTACTACAGAAGGCATAATTAATTATCACGGAGCGTAAGAGTGCTGGAAAAGAGTGGCATCAAGAAAAAAATGTTTGCATGTGCGCAACAATACGATGAATATAAACAATAAAAATCTGGTCAATCTAAAGAAATATAGATTTTAAAACAAACTTTATAGATTGGTGCAGTTGTTCAACTATAGGCTACAGTGAAAAGGCTCCTGTTCATCTGGATTCTTGCATTTCTACTGCAACTCCACTTGACCAGTCTGTAGATTTTTTTTTAATTAAACTATTAAGATGCAAATCAAAACATAAAAGCCTGCAGAGATATCAGCAAAACTATGAATCATCTGCTACACAAACTGTCAGTACACTTAGTAGACAAGACTAAAACAGTTATTTATGTATGTTTTGATCTTCCTACATCAGAACATTTGCATAAATCCAAATTCTGTACTTCCTCCTTTGCACTGCTGAGGCAATATCCAGTAACTAAATCCAGATGCCATAAAATAAGAGAAAACAAAACAAAACTAAACAAAACAAAAAGGAAATCTATAGCTTCAGAAGCAAAATACTAAGAACAGAATGAACTTTCTACTGTCAAAAACAGTCAGAAAAGAATTCACAAAGGACCAACTTACGAGAAATATCCGTATGGTCTTCCATCACAACATGTCTGATCCCTCTTGGATAGCCTTTAACACTAAGGTCTCCTTAAAGAATACCTAAAACTCCTCTTTTTTTGCATATATCTTCTTCACATACCATTAAACACTATCCCCAGCATGGCCAGGAGGTAACAACTGTTAGTAACAAGTTGTCATTAACAGGTCAATATTCAGTAATTTCAAGTTAATACTTTTTCTTTGAAATTGCTTTAACAGTCTACAAAAAGTTGTGGTATTTTCACTAATGCTCAGTAAAATTATTTTTTTCTTTTATACTAATGGCATTTTCCCTCAGAATAACTTGAAAGTAAAAATCCTCATGAGTATTAATTAAATATCTTCCAAAAATCAAGGCATTGTGTATTTACTTTCTGTTGCTTTGGACATTTTTTCTTTAATAAGTTGGCATTGCCTTTCAAGTTTCTTTGATGCTGCCGCGAAGTCAGTTTGAACAAATGGCTTAACATACCTTAAACATCCTCTCTCCACACACACAGAGAGAAAATGAGAGTTAGAACAGATGTTGCTAAAAAAACCCAACAAACAAACCCAGCTTGAAACACAACCTAAACAGACAGCTAAAACAGACATGGCCAACAGGTGACCCCTTTGATTTTCCTGATTCAATTAGTGTGTTAAGTATTTTCTGAGCATTCTTCCCTCGAAATTGGCAGAAGAAAACAGAAAAATAAATATTTCTTGAGACATAGCTAAGTAATGAAAACCGCATGTTCTGTGTGTGTGTTCTTTCACTTGGGAGAGATAAACAACTTCTGCATTTATATTTGCAATTATATGCCCAAAACTAAAAAACACACTTAAAAAGCCTCCCCAAGTATCATTGAATAGCTAATACTCCAACAGCAAAATTAATTTTCTGTTCTGCAGGTCTGATTTTTTTCTGTATTGCTTGATTGGGATGCAAAAGTTATCTTCCAAGAAATTTCAAATTGTGTGCTTTGATACAGTCCTAATTTGAATCTTGCAGCACAGTGAACACATATTGCTAGAAACTATACTAATCAAGCCCTTCTTTTTTATCAGGAAAAGAACCCTGTCCCTGAAAAACTTACAAACCTGAGACACGAAATGGAATTAGAAAACAGATAATAATTAGACAGAGTTTGTAGCCAGAAATGAGTCACCTGAAAAAAAACAGGACAACAGAATCACAATCAATTAGGCTGGAAAAGATCTCTGAGATAATCCTAGTCTAACCTTTGCCCAAACACAACCATGTCAACTAGACCATGGCACTGTGTGCCACGTCCAGTCTTTCCTTAAATATCTCGTTCACCATCTGCCTGGACAGTCCATTACAATTTTTAATCAATCTTTCACCCTTCCTGTGAAGAAATTCCACCTAATGTCCATCTGGACTTAAGGGCTATCACACTGGGTAGTATACAGAGTACTAATTGTACCACAGGCAAACAGAAATGCAACTAATACTGGCTCATTTTGTAAGCACATATAAAAGCTCAGCTGAGGTATGAGAGAAATCCTTGGCCCTTCTGAGCTACCAGCTTCCTAAGGGAAACAAGACTGAATGCAGAAGCCTTTCTTTACAAGTGTAAAAGCTGCAAGAGACATTTTTTTTCCATTTCACTGTGTTGTATTAAAATACGTTAGTTAGTTCTAATATCTTACTTTTCAAGCACAGATCCTCCTTCTGAAATTACATTACAAGTGGAACTGCTAGACACATCTTTTTAACATACATGCATATAGACTTCTCCTAACACAGCTACATAAGAACACTTTCCTCCATACAAGGACATTTAAAAAACCCAATCTGATTTTGCAAAGCAAAAATACAACTTGTATTGTACAACTGAACCAAAATACAGCATATTTACTTAACAAGAAAACTTATTGTGAAACAAAGAGATCCTGCTACAGTCAGCTGTGACACTACTACACACAAAAGACACAACAAGTGAACAGCTGCAGAAACAGCAGTTGATGAAATGGTCAGATGGTGTGCTCAGTGAAAAGTGTTTGCAAAAAAATTAGGTTAGTATGAGAATAGCTGGATGAGTGCAATGGTGTAGAGTGCTTCAAAGGGGAAGAATAGCCTTCATACTGAATGGGAAAGACCATAAACAGATAATTACTTCACAAGTATCCTGTGAGTAACACGAAGCTGTGATAGCCAAAGTACAGACAGGATCGGCTTCTGTCACAGTTTAAGGGAATACCCAGCTAGAAATTCTGGGTGTAACCAAGGGTGGAGGAAGGCTAAACATGGGTGGGGCCCGTTTTTAGGTTGGGGTGAACCAAACTCCATGTAGGTAACATGTAAGACTGAAGCAACAAAGTAAGAAGTAGCAAATATCAAGGCAGCACAGGCCACACATTTGCATTTGGAAATGGTCTGCACCAAAAGAATTCCATCACTAGACAGAGAGCCACCACTGAAGATCTGACATCTTTACCATATAATTCCAGCAGCTTTAGGCTTAACAGCTGGGTTTAGTCTGTTCCTATGGAGAATAAACGCCCATTATTTGTTGGGATTGCTCCTACACTACTCCATGAAGTGAACCAAAATGCAGTTGTCAGTGTTTAAGGAAAGATTCCGTTCAAAAAATATTTTCAAGACATCTGTATCTATATAAAACTAAATATAATACTGCTTCTGACCTGGAGGAGGCCATTGAAGCCTTAAAGATGAACAATTCAATTGGAAAGATGTGAGTGAACAAAGGACTAAAGAAAGCAAATAAACGGAAAAGAGAAAGTAGTACTGATCAAATGTCTGTAGCAGACAGAAGCGTTGAAAGAGAGGACTTTCTAAGGTAGTAAGCAGAACTGAAGTTTTAGAAAAGAAGAGAATGGAAATGTTGATCTGATTAATAAAGAAACAAAGATATATTTGTAAATTAATGAGGTATGTGCTGGGGGAAGGAGAGGAAATGAGAGAAGACAAACTCCAGAAATCAAAATATACAACAGCTGAAACTAATTTGTCCAGATGCTGATTACAACTTATGTTTCTGCTGTGCTTTCTAAGATGGTGAAACTTTCACAAATAAAGTTGTTTTCTTAGGTTAATACCAGTAAAGCAACCAACAAAAATGACTACTAAAAAGATAAAAATATTAAAATAAATTTTAAGCAATGTTATTAGCTGTTATTTAGCAAAAAAGGCATTCTCTGGGATAATTTTTATCCTTTTGTGTATATATAAATGAAGAAAAGACTATAAGAATTTTAAAATTATTTCCCAAGAGGCTCCTTTCCTGCAGTTAGGGAAATATTTTTTTTAAAAAAGGCCTTCTTTCAAAAAAATTTAGTCAATGCAGCATACATCAACAAGTTCAGTTTTTTAGAATTTTCCTAGTCATTTGCAAGCACAGATAGGAGTATACATATCTATACACACACAAACAGAAAAATTCTTAAACTCTTTTAGAAACTTTCTGCTTGTACAAGTACCTTTCAGAAAAATTGTTACTATAAGGAACTGGTATCTTTCAAGTCAAACATATAATTTTATCACAATCTGCAATCATTTGTGTACACAGACCATTTAGAAATTTCCTTTTATTATGCATACAAAAAAATATCCTACTGAACTTCAACATATAACCAGGAATTTGCTATTAGCACTTGAACCACTAACAATGCTCTATCATCCTTTTTATTTAGGACATCTCTTTCTAATTAAGGAACTACAGGCACCTCTGTGAATGGTCAAGAACCATCCAAACACTGAACACTGGGAAAGGTGCACTCAGGAACTCCTCCTGCCACCATTGCTATGCAGTCAGATAGCCACTTTCAAGTTCACTCAATGAAATACAAGGGTTTGCAGGATTAGATGACCCACTCTTTATTTATGAGCATTTAAAATCAACTACAGAATGAGAGCTTTTAGTAAGCCATGTTTTCGTCTGATTCATTAGTGTTTTCAATCCATCCTTATTTTTTAAGCAACCATTTCCTAGACTGGAGTTACAACCACTGGAATGGTATTCATAATAGGATGCAAAGTATTCCTGGTGGAAAGGGAAATGAGCCTCTGGTTAAAAATGGCATCTTAACTTTCAATACATTGCACCGCCAAGTGAAATAGTAATGCCGCATAAGACAAAACATATTTAGTAATAATAATCTATGACACAACTTGTTGCTGTTTCAGGAAAATTAAACAGGCTATTGAAATAAGTTTTAGTGTTAGAAACCATATAAACTCAAGTCTGTAAACAGCACTTTACATTCGTATCCATGAAGTTCTCAATACAATCATATTTATCCACCCTCAACT